AAAATAGGGAAAGGAAACAGGTTCTCTATCATTAGAGGGAAAGGAAACAGGTTATCTATCAAAAGAGGGAAAGGAAACAGGTTATCTCCCTAAAGAGAGAAAGAAAACAGGTTATCTTCCAAAAGAGAGAAAGGAAAGGTTCTCTTCCAAAGGAGAGATTGAGCCAGACTTAGCCATGTGATCAGAGAAATGAAACAGATCAACTATTCTATCCCCCTCATGGACACACATACACTGAACAAAAATATAAATGCAACATGCAACAATTTAAAAGATTTTACTAATTTAAATTTCATAAGGAAATCAATTCATTGAAATAGATGATTTAGGGCCTAATCTATGGATTTCACATGACTGGGAGTATGGATAAGCATCTGTTGGTCACACATACCTTTTTTAGGTAGGGGTTTGGATCAGAAAACCAGGTCAGTATCTGGTGTGACCACCATTTGCCTCATGCAGCGCGACACATCTCCTTCTCAGACAGTTGATCAGGCTGTTGATTGTTGCCTGTGGAATTTTGTCCCACTCCTCTTCAATGGCTGTGCAAAGTTGCTGGATATTGGCGGGAATTGGAACACTTTGTCGTAGACGTAGATCCAGAGCATCCTAAACATGCTCAATGGGTGACATTTCTGGTGAGTATGCAGGCCATGGGAGAACTGGGACATTTTCAGCTTCCAGGAATTGTGTACAAATCCTTGTGACGTGGGGCTGTGCATTATCATGCTGAAACATGAGGCCTTGGCGGCGGATGAATGGCAAGACAATGGGCCTCAGGATCTCGTCAGGGTTTCTCTGTGCATTCAAATTGCCATCAATAACATGCAACTGTGTTTGTTGTCTGTGGCTTGTGCCTGCCCATATCATAACCCCACCGCCACCATGGGGCACTCTGTTCACAAAGTGGACATCAGCAAACGGCTCATCCACACAACGACATACACATTGTCTGCCATCGGCACGGTACGGTTGAAACCGGGATTCATCCGTGAAAAGCACACTTTTACAGTGTGCCAGTGGCCATAGAAGGTGAACATTTACCCACTGATGTCGGTTACGACGCCAAACTGCAGTCAGGTCAAGACCCTGGTGAGGAAGACGAGCAGGCAGATTTGCTTCCCTGAGACGGTTTCTAACAGTTTGTGCAGAATTCTTTGGTTGTGCAAACCCACAGTTTCATCAGCTGTCCGGGTGGCTGGTCTCAGACGATCCCGCAGGTGAAGAAGCTGGATGTGGAGGTCCTGGTTTTGCGTGGTTTGACGTGGTCTGCGGTTTGAGTCCGGTTGGACGTACTGCCAAAATCACTAAAGTGACTTTGGAGGCGGCTTATGGTAGAGAAATGAACATTACATTATCTGGCAACAGCTCTGGTGGACATTCCTGCAGTCAGCATGCCAATTGCACGCCCCCCTAAAACTTGACACATCTGTGGCATTGTGTTGTGTGACAAAACTGCACATTTTAGAGTGGCCTTTTATTTTCCCCAGCACAAGGTGAACCTGTGTAATGATCATGCTGTTTAATCAGCTTCTTGATATGCCACACCTGTCAGTTAAATGGATTATTTTCGAACATGAGAAATGCTCACTAACAGGGATATAAACAAATTTGTGCCCAGAATTTGAGAGAAATAAGCTTTTTGTGTGTATGGAACATTTCTGGGATGTTTTGTTTCAGCTCATGAAACATGGGGACCAACACTTTACATGTTGCATTTACATTTTTGTTCAGTGGCCATGCATGTACCCAGACACACGTACACACACACGGGTGCACACACACACACACACTCACAACACACACACACACACACACACACTCACACAGACACCACACACTTTCTTTTTGGCCTGAAAAGCCTTAGAGAGTGTGTGTGGTTGGCACTTGAGAAGTTCCTGCTGTGTGGGAAAATGCTGATGAGCAGTAGTGAAGCTTGTCGGTAAACCTTGTGTCTATTCATAGTCATCAGCAAACACATAGACATCTACAGAAGCTTCTCACATACAGCGATGAAGGGCGCCTCGAGTCTGTTTTCGTTGGATCGTCAGCGTATAGCGCTCTTCTGTCTCTAGAGAGAGCGAGAAGAGAGCGAGAGCGAGCTCGCGAGCTCGACTCTCTAGGTCCTATCGAGTCTCTCCTCTCTCTATCTCTCTCTCTTTCTCTCGTCGTTCTCTTCTCTCTCTCGTTCTCTCTCTCTCTCTCTCTCTCTCTCTCTCTCTCTTCTCTCAATTCAATTCAATTCAATTCAATTTAAGGGCTTTATTGGCATGGGAAACGTGTGTTAACATGCCAAAGCAAGTGAAGTAGATAGTAAACAAAAGTGAAATAAACAATAAATATTAACAGTAAACATTACACTCAGAAGTTTCAAAAGAATAAAGACATTTCAAATGTCATATTATGTATATATACAGTGTTGTAACAATGTGCAAATAGTTAAAGTACAAATGGGAAAATAAATAAACATAAATATGGGTTGTATTTACAATGGTGTTTGTTCTTCACTGGTTGCCCTTTTCTTGTGGCAACAGGTCACAAATCTTGCAGCTGTGATGGCACACTGTGGTTTTTCACCCAGTAGATAAGGGAGTTTATCAAAATTGGGTTTGTTTTCGAATTCTTTGTGGATCGCTGTAATCTGAGGGAAATATGTGTCTCTAATATGGTCATACATTTGGCAGGAGGTTAGGAAGTGCAGCTCAGTTTCCACCTCATTTTGTGGGCAGTGTGCACATAGCCTGTCTTCTCTTGAGAGCCAGGTCTGCCTACGGCGGCCTTTCTCAATAGCAAGGCTATGCTCACTGAGTCTGTACATAGTCAAAGCTTTCCTTAAGTTTGGGTCAGTCACAGTGGTCAAGTATTCTGCCACTGTGTACTCTCTGTTTAGGGCCAAATAGCATTCTAGTTTGCTCTGTTTTTTTGATTGTTCTTTCCAATGTGTCAAGTAATTCTCTTTTTGTTTTCTCATGATTTGGTTGGGTCTAGTTGTGTTGTTGTTGTTGTTGTCCTGGGGCTGTGTGGGGTCTGTTTGTGTTTGTGAACAGAGCCCCAGGACAAGCTTACTTAGGGGACTCTTCTCCAAGTTCATCTCTCTGTAGGTGATGGCTTTGTTATGGAAGGTTTGGGAATCGCTTCCTTTTAAGTGGTTATAGAATTTAACGGCTCTTTTCTGGATTTTGATAATTAGCGGGTATTGGCCTAATTCTGCTCTGCATGCATTATTTGGTGTTTTACGTTGTACACGGAGGATGTTTTTGCAGAATTCTGCATGCAGTCTCAATTTGGTGTTTGTCCCATTTTGTGAATTCTTGGTTGGTGAGCGGACCCCAGACCTCAGAACCATAAAGGGCAATGGGTTCTATAACTGATTCAAGTATTTTTAGCCAGATCCTAATTGGTATGTCAAATTTTATGTTCCTTTTGATGGCATAGAAGGCCCTTCTTGCCTTGTCTCTCAGATCGTTCACAGCTTTGTGGAAGTTACCTGTGGCGCTGATGTTTAGGCCGAGGTATGTATAGTTTTTTGTGTGCTCTAGGGCAACGGTGTCTAGATGGAATTTGTATTTGTGGTCCTGGCAACTGGACCTTTTTTGGAACACCATTATTTTTGTCTTACTGAGATTTACTCTCTCTCTCTCTCTCTCTCTCTCTCTCTCTCTCTCTCTTTCTTCTCTCTCCATTCTGCTGCTTCTCCCTCTCTGCCTAATTACTGCTGTTTTATGCATATGTTCTGAAAGTCTGAAAGTGAAGACGTATTGGATGATGCTCTGATTCTCTCCATCATCATCAGCCTAAGGAGACTCAGATTCAGTTTCTGGCCTGCTGTCTGAATTGGGTAATTATGGTCAGTAACAATATCACCCTGGGGAGGAAACTTAAATATGTATCAATGAAAGCCAGGAAAGCAAGCTGAAGTAGCTCAACTCTGTGGCTGGTTTTTCAGATTCAGAAAACGGATTCCCATCTAATTTCCTCTGTCTACGGTTCAAATACATAGGTCTAGCAGTCAGAATGTCTTGGGTTGACCTCTGACCTAGCACAGTTGGACTGATATTCAATCTGTTTCTCCCCAGTGTCTCCCCAGCCCATTCAGAGAGGCCTGAGAAAACAGAAAACTGATGGTGCTAAAGGATTACTGTAGGGTAAATGTGAGTGTTGGGGATGCAGGTGTAAAAACATGTTGTTGCTGTTGGAATAGTATGTCTATTGTTTGCTCAAGCCTCAATCCCTTCTTCTGTGGCCAAATAACTTCTAGTTACAACTACTTTTAATATGAGGAGTGTTGGTTGTAACGGGTTACTAATGAGATTACTTTTATGAGTAACGGAGTACTTTTTCAAATTGGGTAACATTATTACAGTTAATTTGTCAAACAACACGTGCATTACTTTCAGAATCATATCTCTACAGGGCGTGTGTTTGCATGATCCGATCTCGACTTGCAACTCTGATTTTTGCCATTGATCACTTCTGTGATAGCAAAGCCCATAGAGGACTTTTTCGTCTAGGTCCGTACGTGCGGTCTATAACCAGAACTAGTGGCTTGAGAGAAAGACTTTGAATGAAAATAAATCTGTACAGATGTTTGGCTTACAGTATATATTTGCAGATTAATATGATAGCGCCGCACTTCTGTCTAGCACAGGAAATCACCTCCACAGATGAAAGGAGAAACTAATGATCAAACCTGAGTTGCTAAGTAACCTGTCTTTGGTTAGTCTTACTCCCTCCGACAGTCAAATAAACGGTGTGATTTTGAGAATTATTTTCATGAAAAAACGCAAAGTAATGTAACTAGCAATATAATGTGTTACTTTCTACACAAAGTAGTATTGTAAAGTAACACGTTACTTTTGTTAAATGTAACGAGTAAAAGTTACTTTTTCAAGTAACTAATCCCAACACTGAATATGAGTATTTCATTGGCGAACATGACTTTACCACAGCCCAGTGAGGTGATGAGACAGTGAACAGACAGAGGAGCTGTAGTGCCAGACATGGCCGCCAGACATGGCCGCCAGACGAGGGAGAGGGAGAGTAAACAACAACACATGAGGTGAATTAAACTCACTAGACGTGTTGCCAGTTCTCAAAGCCAGGTATTTAATAGCTGGCTCTGCCAGCGCTGTCTTTCGCTGCTCACCAGATTGCCAGAGCTACATCAGGACCTGCCAGACTCTCCCTATACAACACCTTAGTTGTGTGTCCATTCACTGGCTATATCCCATTACAATGATGTCACTTACTATCCTTCCACGGTTTGCACAATTAATTAAACCACTGCTGCTACTCGCTGTTTATTATCTATGCGTAGTCACTTTACCCCCTACCTACATGTACAAATTACCTCGACTAACCTGTACATTGACTCCGTACATTGACTCGTTACCGGTACCCCCTGTATATAGCCTCGTTATTGTTATTTTATTGCTTAACTTTTTTTTTTTTTTTACTTTTTTAAACTTTTGTTTATTTAGTAAATATTTTCTTAACTCTATTTCTTGAACTGCATTGTTGGTTAAGGTGCTTGTAAGTAAGCATTTCACCGTAAGGTCCTACACCTGTTGTATTCGGAGCATGTGACAAATAAAATTGGATTTGATTGGATTTTGATGACTTGGTAAAGAAAGTTTACCAGAGTGAACAGCCGTGTGTGTTCATCAGCATCATAATTTCTCTCTTCCTGCTACTCATCACAACCTTGCTCACACAACACTTCACTGTATTGGGAAGTGGAGACACAAACACAATTCAAACTGCAAACAGTAATCTGACTAAACGCCACCAATTGGTTTAAAGTATAAGGGAGCTATACAAGTTTAATTGTTCAGCAGTCTTATGGCTTGGGGGGTAGAAGCTGTTAAGGAGCCTTCAGCAGTCTTATGGCTTGGGGGTAGAAGCTGTTAAGGAGCCTTTTGGTCCTAGACTTGGCGCTCCGGTAGCAGAGAGAACAGTCTATGACTTGGGTGACTGGAGTCTTTGACAATTTTTTGGACCTTCCTCTGACACCGCCTGGTATATAGGTCCTGGATGGCAGGAAGCTTGGCCCCCAGTGATGTACCGCACTAACCTCTGTAGCACCTAACAGTCAGATGACGAGCAGTTCCAATACCATGCAGTGATGCATCCGGTCAGGATGCTCTCAATGGTGCAGCTGTATAACTTTTTGAGGATCTGGGGACCCCATGCCAAATCTTTTCAGTCTCCTGAGGGGGAAAAGGTGTTGTTGTGTCCACACTGCCAGGTCTCTGACCTCCTCCCTATAGGCTGTCTCATTGTTGTCGGTGATCAGGCCTACCACTGTTGTGTCGTCAACAAACGAAATGATGGTGTTGGAGTCGTGCTTGGCCACACAGTCATGGGTGAACAGGGAGTACACAAGGGGACTAAGCATACACCCCTGAGGGGCCCCCGTGTTGAGGATCAGCGTGGCAGATGTGTTGTTGACTACCCTTACCACCTGGGGGCGGCACGTCAGGAAGTCCAGGATCCAGTTGCAGAGGGAGGTGTTTAGTCCCAGGGTCCTTAGCTTAGTGATGAGCTTTGTGGGCACTATGGTGTTGAACGCTGAGCTGTAGTCAATGAACAGCATTCTCACGTAGGTGTTCCTTTTATCCAGGTGGGAAAGGGCAGTGTGGAGTGTGATTGAGATTGGAAACAAACAAAACCTATGCAAATTCCTCATTGTGTAAGGGGGAACTCACTGCCTTGTTTTAGTAAACAGCTCATGTTCTTTTGCCATTCAGACAGACAAACAGACAGCAGAACTCCAGACAGACAGACATATTTGTAATTATCTCAATATAATGTGTGAAACAAAACCCCTAGAGAGGTATTGTCTGGTATCCAAGGTGGTCCCCAAGTTATACAGACACCAACAGAGCTGTATCAACAACAGACAAAGAAACAGAGAGACTGACATGGCAGACAGACACATTACACAGAGAAACAGAGAGACTGACATGGCAGACAGACACATTACACAGGACCTAAAAGTAGACCTAATAGTCCAACCTGATTCAACCAGTGTGTGCCCAGTGGGATGTGACTGTCCATAGGAACATTATGGAACAGCATATGAGTGTAACTTTCGGGTATAGGCCTAGAGGAAGCAATGGAATGCAGTAACCCCGGGGGTAGCCTATTCATGGGATGCATGTTTCGTCACAATAGTGTTTATGAACTTTCGTTTTTTGGACTGATGCCCGACTGAGCATTCTACTCAATGCCTCGTTAATGAGCGCTGATGAAGATTTAATCAAAAAAAGTGCATTACAGTGGCTTGAAAATACAATGACATTCAAAAGGAATGCAAATAATCAGTAGGAAAACCTTTTGATGACTTTCGATACAGTATAACGTTAGCTAGGAGAAATCCTACTGTTTGCAAGCCTTTCCCGTTACAAGACCAGCTCAGCTGGTAGAGCACGGCGCTTGTAACGCCAAGGTAGTGGGTTCGATCCCCGGGACCACCCATGCACAAAAATGTATGCACGCATGACTGTAAGTCGCTTTGGATAAAAGCGTCTGCTAAATGGCATATTAAATTTTAAATTAAAATTATTATTAGCTAGCGAAGATTGAGGGGAGGCCACCGAATTTTAGCTAGCTGGCCTACACAATTACCCGACCTCAACCCACTATTATCCGACCTCAACCCACTATTATCCGACCTCAACCCACTATTATCCGACCTCAACCCACTATTATCCGACCTCAACCCACTATTATCCGACCTCAACCCACTATTACCCGACCTCAACCCACTATTATCCGACCTCAACCCACTATTATCCGACCTCAACCCACTATTATCCGACCTCAACCCACTATTATCCGACCTCAACCCACTATTACCCGACCTCAACCCACTATTATCCGACCTCAACCCACTATTATCCGACCTCAACCCACTATTATCCGACCTCAACCCACTATTATCCGACCTCAACCCACTATTATCCCGACCTCAACCCACTATTATCCGACCTCAACCCACTATTATCCGACCTCAACCCACTATTATCCGACCTCAACCCACTATTATCCGACCTCAACCCACTATTATCCGACCTCAACCCACTATTATCCGACCTCAACCCACTATTATCCGACCTCAACCCACTATTATCCTTCAATGTAGAAAATAGTAAAAAATAAAGAAAAACCCTTCAATGAGTAGGTGTGTCAAAACTTTTGACTTGTACTGTACATAAAAACATTCTCCATTCAAGCTGCAAAGGCGTCGATTTCCTCCTTTACTCAATTTAATTGCAAGAAAGCAGAAAGAAACGGGGAAAATATGCGTACTTTCTTCATTAAACATTTTCCATCCTACAGTGGCTAGTGCTAGTCCCGGATGATGCGTATCGCGTTCAGCCAATCACGTTGCAGCAGTCTGTTTTTTTTCACCCCTGCAACCTGATTGGCTGAACACGATACCCAACATCCGGGACTAGCATTAGCATGGCGGTGGAAAATTGTGTTTCATAAAGAAAATATGCATTTTTTTTTTGTCTGCCTTCTCGCCAATAACTATGGCTCTGCATGCAGTATAAAGGAAGTTAGTGGTAGTTTCGCGAGCCAATGCTAACTAGCATTAGCTCAATGACTGGAAGTCTACCAGCACAGTAGCAATGCAAAGGAGAGTGAAGTTGCCCCCTAGATGCTGATCTTGTGTCATGTTTGCATTTTCCCCATTAAACGTTTTCTTCAATTAGCAGACGCTCTTATCCAGAGTGACTTACTGGAGCAATTAGCAGACGCTCTTTTCCAGAGTGACTTACTGGAGCAATTAGCAGACGCTCTTTTCCAGAGTGACTTACTGGAGCAATTAGCAGACGCTCTTATCCAGAGTGACTTACTGGAGCAATTAGCAGACGCTCTTATCCAGAGTGACTTACTGGAGCAATTAAGGTTAAATACGTTGCTCAAGGGCACATTGACAGATTTGTCACCTAGTCGGCTCGGGGATTAAAACCAGCAACCTTTTCGGTGACAGGCCCATGCTCTTCACCGCTCTTAACCGCTAGGCTACATGTCCCCACTTATGGTTAAGGTTAGGATTGGAGGGGGTGGGTTAAGGTTAGGATTGGAGGGGGTGGGTTAAGGTTAGGATTGGAGGGGGTGGGTTAAGGTTAGGATTGGAGGGGGTGGGTTAAGGTTAGGATTGGAGGGGGTGGGGGGGGGGGCTGATCCTAGATCTGTACCTAGGGAAATCTTCGCCCCGGAGCGGGGGAGGTAAGGGTGGGTGGGAGCTAGACATGAGCGCTCAGACCATTCCGTTCATCCTCCAGCACTCACAGTTGTCTGTGTTTCAGACAGACGGGAGTGGTCTTGTAACGGGAATGGCTTGCAAACAGTAGGATTTCTCCTACAACTGGCTATTGGGATCTAAAACTATACCTAAATAACGGATTTATATGACACACCATTCCAGGATTTTGATTAATTTTGCTTTGACACAGGTAAGTGCGGTGACGTGCGGAGAACTTTTAATTGGATGACAGACGGCTATAGGGTCATTAGAAACACAGTGTTTGAATTTGAAAGTATAAATACCATATTATTACATTTCTGTCATATTTCTGAATGTAGAAGAATAGCTAAATCAAACATGGAAATAAACAACTTGTTTAAACACCATGTTACTTGGTGATTTTAGTGCGTTGGCTAATTTCATTTGTGGAAGAAGGTGTTTCATTACCATGCACTCATAGTGTACTTTAAAAATCTCAGAGGTGAAGTGCTGATGGGGTTTAGGACAGGGAGCGCCAAGAATGGTGCAGGATTAATTAGACTACTGCACTGTAGTACCCTATAGACTTTTACGCACAACATTTCTCTCTGTGCACTGGGAAAGATTATATTTCTAATGTTGATTTAATATATATTTTGTAATGATATGACTCTCAATTACTTTATTTACGAACCCTGTTTTCAGAACACTTTGAATGTCCATGGATGTTGAAGTGCATGTGCCTTTCATCTTGAAGAGAGTTTGGAGAAAAAAGGTATGGAGAATTAGAATATTATCTAAATTGTTTTAGCAATTGTGGATATATTGTTAAAAAAACGATTTCTGCTGATTCATCATTGCTTTGTATTTGCCAACTTAAAACTATATTTCTGCCATGCACACACCCCCCAAACCCCCCCCCCACACACACACACCAAATCTCTCTCCCTCCTTTCTATCTTGTTGTCAATTCTCCCTCTTTTCTCTCTCTCTCTGTCTCTCTCTCTCTCTCTCCACATCCCTTATTTTAATTCTATTTCACATTCTCTTTGACACAGAATACACTGCATTCTTTGCACTTATGTAATTGGTCCTTCTATAAACTAATCAACCAACCCCTGTGTCTCTCCAGCAGGTTGACATTAATGAGAGGAGAGGAAGCCGAGCCCATGCAGTGTGTGACTGAGTGTGAAGCTCTCTCCCTCTCCAGAATGAGTGTGTGTGCCGACGGCCCCTCATACCTGCGGCGGTGGCTGCTGACGGCTGTGTTTCTCTTGGCTGCTCTGCTACCAGGAATCAGCGGATGCCCCAAATCGTGCGCGTGCTATGTTCCCACCGAAGTGCACTGTACCTTCAGATATCTGACCGCAATACCAGGCCAGATCCAGACGGCTGTGGAAAGAATTAACTTAGGGTGAGAGTCAGACTCTAGCTCTCTTCGCTCTCTCTCTCAATTAAATTAAAAGGGAAACATATGTTTACAATGTCAGAGCAAGTGAAATAGATAATAAACCAAATTTAAATAAACAATAAAAACAATTAAAAAATAAACAGTAAACATTACTCTCAAAAACGTTTTAAAGAAATAGAAACATTTAAAATGTCATATTATGACTATGTACAGTGTTATAATGATGTACAAATAGGAAAATAAATAAACATAAATACAGTGAGGGAAAAAAGTATTTGATCCCCTGCTGATTTTGTACGTTTGCCCACTGACAAAGAAATGATCAGTCTATAATTTTAATGGTAGGTTTATTTGAACAGTGAGAGACAGAATAACAATAAAAAAATCCAGAAAAACGCATGTCAAAAATGTTATAAATTGATTTGCATTTTAATGAGGGAAATAAGTATTTGACCCCTCTGCAAACATTGACTTAGTACTTGGTGGCAAAACCCTTGTTGGCAATCACAGAGGTCAGACATTTCTTGTAGTTGGCCACCAGGTTTGCACACATCTCAGGAGGGATTTTGTTCCACTCCTCTTTGCAGATCTTCTCCAAGTCATTAAGGTTTCGAGGCTGACGTTTGGCAACTCGAACCTTCAGCTCCCTCCACAGATTTTCTATGGGATTAAGGTCTGGAGACTGGCTAGGCCACTCCAGGACCTTAATGTGCTTCTTCTTGAGCCACTCCTTTGTTACCTTGGCCGTGTGTTTTGGATCATTGTCATGCTGGAATACCCATCTAAGACCCATTTTCAATGCCCTGGCTGAGGGAAGGAGGTTCTCACCCAAGATTTGACGGTACATGGCCCCGTCCATCGTCCCTTTGATGCGGTGAAGTTGTCCTGTCCCCTTAGCAGAAAAACACCCACAAAACATAATGTTTCCACCTCCATGTTTGACGGTGGGGCTGGTGTTCTTGGGGTCATAGGCAGCATTCCTCCTCCTCCAAACATGGCGAGTTGAGTTGATGCCAAAGAGCTCGATTTTGGTCTCATCTGACCACAACACTTTCACCCAGTTCTCCTCTGAATCATTCAGATGATCATTGGCAAACTTCAGACGGCTGTGTATATGTGCTTTCTTGAGCAGGGGGACCTTGCGGGCGCTGCAGGATTTCAGTCCTTCACGGCGTAGTGTGTTACCAATTGTTTTCTTGGTGACTATGGTCCCAGCTGCCTTGAGATCATTGACAAGATCCTCCCGTATAGTTCTGGGCTGATTCCTCACCGTTCTCATGATCATTGCAACTCCACGAGGTGAGATCTTGCATGGAGCCCCAGGCCGAGGGAGATTGACAGTTATTTTGTGTTTCTTCCATTTGCGAATAATCACACCAACTGTTGTCATCTTCTCACCAAGCTGCTTGGCCATGGTCTTGTAGCCCATTCCAGCCTTGTGTAGGTCTACAATCTTGTCCCTGACATCCTTGGAGAGCTCTTTGGTCTTGGCCATGGTAGAGAGTTTGGAATCTGATTGATTGATTGTTTCTGTGGACAGGTGTCTTTTATACAGGTAACAAGCTGAGATTAGGAGCACTCCCTTTAAGAGTGTGCTCCTAATCTCAGCTCGTTACCTGTATAAAAGACACCTGGGAGCCAGAAATCTTTCTGATTGAGAGGGGGTCAAATACTTATTTCCCTCATTAAAATGCAAATCAATTTATATCATTTTTGACATGCGTTTTTCTGGATTTTTTTGTTGTTACTACTGTGATTGCACACTGTGGTATTTCACCCAATAGATAAGGGAGTTTATCAAAATTGGGTTTGTTTTAAAATTATTTGTGGGTCTGTGTAAACTGAGGGAAATATGTGTCTCTAATATGGTCACGCATTTGGCAGGAGCATTTGGTGTTTGTCCCATTTTGTGTATTTGTGGTCCTGGCAACTGCATCTTTTTTGGAACACAATTATTTTTGTCTTACTGAGATTTACTGTCAGGGCCCAGGTCTGACAGAATCTGTGCAGAAGATCTAGGTGCTGTTGTAGGCCGTCCTTGGTTGGTGACAGAAGCACCAGATCATCAGCAAACAGTAGACATTTGACTTCAGATTCTAGTAGGGTGAGGCCGGGTGCTGCAGACTGTTCTAGTGCCCTCGCCAATTCGTTGATATATATGTTGAAGAGGGTGGGGCTTAAACTGCATCCCTGTTTCACCCCACGGCCCTGTGGAAAGAAATGTGTGTTTTTTGCCAATTCTAACCACATACTTGTTGTTTATATTGTTGTATGTTTTTCCCCAATCACCGCTTTCCATCAATTTGTATAGCAGATCCTCATGCCATATTAAATCAAAAGCTTTTTTGAAATCAACAAATTAGGGTGTGCAGGGTGAATACCTGGTACGGTAATTTGGTAAAAAGCCAATTTGACATTTGTTCAGTACATTGTTTTCATTGAGGAAATGAATTAAATGTGTTGTTTTTTTGTGTGGGTCTCTCTCTTTTTTCCTCTCCCAGTCTCTGTTTTCTTACCCTCTATGAATGCACATACAGTATATTTTAGTTATATATTAGACCGTTGATGTAGCATTTTGAGCAATAATTAATTTTTCGCTGCTAGATGGTTTTCCCCACTTTTCTGTCTTCAGGTATAACAGTATAACTGCATTGAGGGAGAATGATCTGTCTGGGCTGGAGCACCTGGAGCTGCTGATGCTGCACAGCAACACCATCCACAGCATCGCTGACAGGGCCTTTCAAGACCTCAAGTCCTTACAGGTATACCTACAGCACTGTCATAAACACCTGTTGATATACAGGTAACTGCCAAAAATAATGGAAACACTTGGGTAAATGAGGTATGCAAAGTATATTGAAAGCAGGTGCCTTCACACAGGTGTGGTTCCTGAGTTAATTAAGCAATTAACGTCCCATCATGCTTAGGGTCATGTATTGAACGGGTCACCATTATTTTGGCAGACCATTATTTTGGGCATTATTTTGGCATGCGTACAGTATAAGATGACAGGGCACATGTGAATGGTTAGCTGAGCCTGAAAACGATGTACAGTGCCTTCAGAAAGTATTCATACCCTTTAATTATTCCACATTCTGTTGTGTTACAGCCTGAATTCAAAGTTGATTAAATATATTTTTTTCTCTGACCCATCTACACACAATACCCCATAATGACAAAGTGAAGCCATGTTTTTAGATATTTTTGCTAATTTATTGAAAATGAAATACAGAAATGTAAGTATTCACACCCCTGAGTCAATACTTTTATTATTATTATTATTAATACTTTGTAGAAGCACCTTTGGCAGCGATATCAGCTCTGACTCTTTCTGGGTAAGTCTCTAAGAGATTTCCACACCTGGATTGTGCAACGTTTGCCCGTTATTCTTTTCAAAATTCGTCAAATCTGTCAAACTGTTTGTTGATCATTGCTAGACAACCCTTTTAAGGTCTTGCTATTGATTTTAAAGTAGATTGAAGTCAAAACTGTTATTCGGCAACTCAGGAACATTCACTGTCTTCTTGGTAAGCAATTCCAGTGTAGATTTGGCCTTTTGTTTAAAGTTATTGTCCTGCTGAAAGGTGAATTCATCTCCCAGTGTCTGTTGGAAAGCAGGCTGAAACAGGTTTTCCTCTAGGATTTTGCCTGTGCTTATCTCTATTCCGTCTTTTTTTTTATCCTGAAAAACTCCCCAGTCCTTAACGGTTACAAGCATACCCATAAAATCGAATCACATTTTATTGGTCGCATAGACATATTTTGCGGGTGTTTAATGAAATACACAAATCAAAAAAAGTAAAATATAGAAATTAAGAAATATAGAAATATTAGGACGAGCAATGTCGCAGTCCGGACAATAAATATATATATATATATATATATATATATATATATATATATATATATATATATATATATATATATACTGAACAAAAATATAAACGCAACATGCAACAATTTAAAAGCTTTACTGAGTATCAGTTCATATAAGGAAATCAGTCTATTGAAATAAATTCATTAGGCCCTAATCTATGGATTTCACATGACTGGGCAGGGGCACAGCCATGGGTGGGCATAGGCCCACCCACTTGGCAGCCAGGCCCAGCCAATCAGAATTAGGTTTTCCCCACAAAAGGGCTTCATTACAGAGAGAAATACTCCTGAGCAGCACCTGTGTAATGATCATGCTGTTTAATCAGCTTCTTGATTACGCCACACCTGTCAGGTGGATGGATTATCTTGGCAAAGGAGAAATGCTCACTAACAGGGATGTAAACAAATGTGTGTACAAAATTTGAGCGAAATAAGCTTTTTGTGAGTGTGGAACATTTCTTTGATTTTTTTGTTTCACCTCATGAAACACGGGACCAACACTTCACATGTTGTGTTTATATTTGTGTTCAGTGCATATATATATATATATAAACTACCATTCAAAAGTTTGGGGTCACTTAGAAATGTCCTTGTTTTTGAAAGAAAAGCATTTTTTTTTGTCCATTAAAAATACAGTGTAGAAATCGTTAATGTTGTAAATGGCTATTGTAGCTGGAAATGGCTGATTTTTTTATGGAGTATCTACATAGGCGTACAGAGGCCCATTATCAGCAACCATCAGTCCTGTGTTCCAATGGCACGTTGTGTTTGCTAATCCAAGTTTATCATTTTAAAAGGCTAATTGATCATTAGAAAACCCTTTTGCAATTAGGTTAGCACAGCTGAAAACTGTTGTGCTGATTAAAGAAGCAATAAAACTGGCCTTCTTGAGACTAGTTGAGTATCTGGAGCATCAGTTATTGTGGGTTCGATTACAGGCTCAAAATGGCCAGAAACAAAGAACTCTCTTCTGAAACTCGTCAGTCTATTCTTGTTCTGAGAAATGAAGGCTATTCCATGCGAGAAATTGCCAAGAAACTGAAGATCTCGTACAATGCTGTGTACTACTCCCTTCACAGAACAGCGCAAACTGGCTCTAACTAGAATAGAAAGAGGAGTGGGAGCCCCCGTTTTGATGTCTTCACTATTAAAAAATCAAGAAAAACCCTTGAATGAGTAGGTGTTCTAAAACTTTTGACCGTTAGTGTATATGATGGGATATATAGACATGATGGACAGTATGTGGATAGAATATGTTGTATATCTGTAGAATACATAGGGTAGAATAGTATATGTACAGTAGTAGTTGAATAGGATGGACTTGACTAGAATACAGTATATACATATGGAATGAGTAAAACAGGATGTACACATTATTAAAGTGACCAGTTATTCCATGTCTGTGTACACAGGGCAGCAGCCTCTAAGGTGCAGGGTTGAGTAACCGGGTGGTAGCCGGCTAGTGATAGTGATTAAGTTCAGGGCAGGGTACTGGGCGGAGGCCGGCTAGTGATGGCTATTTAACAGTCTGATGGCCTGGGGATAGAAGTTGTTTTTCAGTCTGTTCGGTCCCAGCTTTGATGCACCTGTACTGACCTCGCCTTCTGTATGGTTGCGGAGTGAACAGGCCGTGGCTCACATGTCTGAGGTCCTTGATGATCCTTCCTGTGACACCGGGTGCTGTAGATGTCCTGGAGGGCAGACATTGTGTCCCTGATCATGCGTTGGGCTGACCGCACCACCCTCTGGAGAGCCCTGCGGTTGCGGATGGTGCAGTTGCCATACCAGGCGGTGATACAGCCCGACAGGATGCTCTCAATGGTGCATCTTTAAAAGTTTGTGAGGGTCTTAGGGGCCAAGCCAAATTTCTTCAGCCTTCTGAGGTTGTCTGTGTGGGTGGACAATTTCAGATTGTCAGTGATGTGTACACCGAGGAACTTGAAGCTTTTCACCTTCTCCACTGCGACCCTGTTGCTGTGGATAGGGGTGTGCTCCCTCTGCTGTCTCCAGAAGTCCACGATCAGCTCCTTCGTTTTGTTGACGTTGAGGGAGAGGTTATCTTCCTGGCACCACTCCGCCAGGGCTCTCACCTCCTCCCTGTAGGCTGTCTCGTCATTGTTGGTAATCAGGCCTACTACTGTTGTTTCATCTGCAAACTAGATGATTGAGTTGGAGACGTGCGTGGCTACAAAGTCATGAGTGAACAGGGAGTGCAGGAGGGGGCTAAGCACGCAACCTTGTGGGGCCCCTGTGTTGAGGATCAGCGAAGTGGAGATGTTGTTGCCTAACTTCACCACCTGGGAGCGGCCCGTCAGGAAGTCTAGGACGCTGTTGTTGTATTGGATTTTCCCCAAACCTAACGCTTTGTGTTCAGGACAAAAAGTTAATTGCTTTGCCACATTTTTTGCAGTATTACTTTAGTGTCTTGTTACAAACAGGCTGCATGTTTTGGAATATTTTGATTCTGTACAGGCTTCCTTCTTTTCACTCTGTTAATTAGGTGAGTACTGTGGAGTAACTACAATGTTGTTGATCCATCCTCAGTTTTCTCCTATCACAGCCATTAAACTCTGCAACTGTTTTAAAGTCACCACTGGCCTCATGGTGAAATCCCTGAGCGGTTTATTTTCTCTACGGCAACTAAGTTAGGAAGGAGGCCTGTATCTTTGTAGTAACTGGGTGTATTGATACATATTGTGTGTAGGTCAGTGGCATTCTTTTTTTTTTTTCATGCCATAACACAACAAAATGTGGAAAAAGTAAAGGGGTGTGAATACTTTCTGAAGGCACTGTATACCATATGCCAAGGCCGTCACAGTCGCCAGATCTCAACCCAATTTAAAACACTTATGGGAGATTCTGGAGCGTCGCCTGAGACGGCGTTTTCCACCACCATCAACAAAACATCAAATGATGGAATTTCTCATGGAAGAATGGTGTCGTATCCCTCCAATAGAGTTCCAGACACTTGTAGAATCAATGCCAAGGTGTTCTGTTCTGGCTGGTGTGGCCCAACGCCCTATTAAGACACTTTATGTTGGTGTTTCCTTTATATACCACTTAGCAAACACTTTTATCCAAAGCGACTTACAGTCATGCCTTCATTACATATCGGTGGTCCCGGGAATCAAACCCACTACCCTGGCATTGCAAGCGCCATGCTCTACCAACTGAGCTACAAAGGATATTTTGTGTGTGTACATTAGGTCATTAGTTAGTTGACTCATTTGATTCACATTTACTCATATCCATCTACCAATGTCAATAGACTTCTGTTGGACTGAGTTTGTTAAATGTATAACCTACTCCATTCATAACCTCATATCATTCTTTGACAGAGCAGGCTTTTTCCCAAGCTAGTGGAGCCAAAGAACCAAGCATGCTAAGACATTAACAAATACAAGTTCTTCCTTACAGTAACATCTTTCAAACAGCAACGGAAAGTGTAATTCATCTTGGGAAAAATAAACAGTCTTCGTCCATGGTGTTATTATTTTATTCCAGAAACGTTTGTAGGCCCTGAGGGTTAAGTGAGGGAGGGGTTTATAAAAGGCCTTGGAACTTTACAACTGCTTTGATTTACTCTTATTTAAAACCTTTCACAACAGCTGACTTCTGGAAGTGCTCCCAGGCAGAATAACCTCACATTACCTCTGGCCCGGATGATTTTAAGTTAGCCGTGGCATCACACTCTTGCTCCAGTGCTCCAGGGGTCTCTGTGTGCAACTATAATAATGTGTTTTTTAATGACGTGCCTTCAGGTCCTGAAGATGAGCTACAACAGAGTGAAGGAGATCAACAGGGACACCTTCCAAGGCCTGGAGGGCCTGGTGCGACTCCACGTTGACCACAACCGCATCGAGTTCATCAACCCGGAGGCGTTCTACGGTCTGACCGCGTTACAGCTGGTCCATCTGGAGGGCAACCTGCTCCAGCAGCTCCACCCGGACACCTTTATCACGCTGAGGCACAGCCAGGTGTTCAAGGTGTCCTCTGTCAGGATCATCCACCTGTCTGACAACCTCCTCACCAGCCTCCCCAAAGACGTCTTTACTGGTTGCTCCCAGCTGGAGAACATCTATCTCCATGGCAACCCATGGTCCTGCGACTGTCGCATGGATTGGTTCCCAGAGTGGGCTGGGATAAATACAGGTAAGGCTACATTAGATTTCTGTCTGCAACCTTCTGAATATTTGATTTAACTGAGTACGCCCTGTTGGCAGTTACTGTGCATAAAATGGATCATAAGGGAATGGTTGGATTAACCCAGGCAAGATCTGGTGGAATCTCTACATGCATGAATTTATAGCATGGAACAGAGTGAAAAATGTGTTTCTTCAGTAAATTTATGTTGTGTGGGACAGCCTCCAACAGGAAAACCATGCTTGTCCAAAGAAGAAGGATAAATCTTTATTGGATACAGATTGCTGGAAATACAGCTTTAAAAAAATCTCAGCATGACATGAAGTGGTACTGAAAAAGACTAAAAGACAGGAACTAAGCCTCTATTGTTTTATCAAAAATGTACATAAGCAAATGTAAATAGATCTAAATCTAAATTCAGATACTCATTGATAATTTCTGAATAACTACTTTGTGATTTAGAGCAGTATCATAAACAACATGTGAAATAGGGAACCAACCCCTATTAAATCATGACATAAAAACGAAATATCAATTCAGTAATTACCTTGTTTTACAGGTGTGCTGAAATGCAAGCGAGACAGGAAGTATGCCAGAGGTCAGGCCTGCCCCGTCTGTGAGACCCCCTCTCCCACTCGAGGCAGGAGCCTCACCCAGCTTCCCCGTGACGCCTTCACCTGTACCAAGCCCTGGATCCACCCCCATCTGAAGCAGAGGAACGTCAGCCTGGACGAGGGGGATTACACCCCCGTCTCCCCCCGGGACTTCATCGCCCCCATCGGATCCCTGCAGATGAACCTGACAGATCAGTTTCACAATGACGCTAGCCTTACCTGCACGGTCCAGAGACCGTCAGCCATGGAGAACCTGACTCTAACCCAGGTGGAGGAGGGGGAGAATAACGTCACCATGCTCTCCGTCACCGTCTCCACATGGCTGGTCTGTAATATTGACTATGACCACATCCAGCAGCTCTGGCGCATCCTGGCTACGTACAGCGACGTGCCCATGAGGATGGAGAGAGGGCTGATGCTCTCCAGGACCCCAGACATGATCTACAAGTACAGCCAGATCAGACCAAAGGAGGGAAAAAATGAAATCCACACAGACGTCGAGGCTGAGATTAAGGCTTCACCCGCGTGGTTGATGCAGGGAGAGGTCAACTTTCAGCTGGACCGCACCACGACCACATTCTCCACCCTGCACATTAAGTACAGGTCAGAGGTCAACCTGCGTGTTGAGAACAAAGGTGTCGCAGAGGAGGGACCGTTACAGCTGGACCATCATCAAACGAGACAACCAGACCCAGACTGAGCACGCTGTCCTCATAGGTGGGTGTTGGGCAGAGATACAGCCCCCACCGATACGATGCTTTTTTGATGCCTGTTGAAAAGGACTAAATCAAAGCCATGCATGGTTAATATGTACACTGTATCTTGTTCAAGACTGAGCACTCTGTCCTCATAGGTGGGTCCTACAGTACACAATGTGTAGTGGATGGGCATAGATGTGTCCATATAATGTATGTAACATACTTTCAGAGCTACAAAATAGCAGTGTGCGTCATAAAAGCAATTTATTAATGTGATTCTTGTTGTAATTAAAGGTGGGGTGGTGGAGCTCAACTGCCAGACCTTTGGGGTGCCAAAGCCCTCTGTAGAGTGGATCTTATCGGACGGCAGTAAGGTGCGGGCGCCCTACTCCAGCGAGGACCGCAGGATAGTGATCACCGCTGATGGGAGGCTCACCCTGAGAGGGACAGACACCTCAGACGCTGGGCTCTACCGCTGCATCGCCACTAACTACCTGGACGCAGACGTGCTCAGCTTCCGGGTCACGGTGCTGTCTCCCGACGTGGAGGAGGAGGAGGTCAACGGGGTCAAGCTCTCACGGCCTCTGGGCCAGAGCCTGGTTTTAGACTGTGGGTCAACAGGCAGCCCTGATGCCTCGGTCCAGTGGATTCTACCTGACCACACAGTTCTTGATAAATCCTATGGCAACAGGAAGCTCTATAGGAATGGGACTCTAGGAATAAAAGATCTGACCTCCAGAGACAAGGGGTTTTACAGGTGTCTCAGTGCTAACCACCTGGGGGTGGACCTGCTGACTTCCCAGGTGACTGTCACTGGGGAGGGGTACAGGAAAGAGATGGTGATGGATAGAGAGGGGTCAGGGGTGGAGGCTGGGGTTGAGGTTGACGGGGGCATAGAGGAGGGGGAGGATTCCCACGGTGAGATCCCTTCCTTTAGCCCCTCCGACAGAACCATCAAGGAGTCAAGGACCATCACATCAGACAGGCCGTACCCCAGACTCAGGTCCTCCTCTCAGGGCAGGGGATCAGGGGGCTCAGGGGGGAGGCGGAGGGGCCCAGCCAGCAGTAGGCGCATATGGAGCAACAGGAGGGTCTTTGATCAAGCCTCCAGGAAAGTAGACCCCCTGAGATTTGCAGAGTTCATGAAGAAGGCTCAAGGTGGTTCAACAACAAAGACAGAGAGGGAGAAAGAAAAAGGAGATTCAGAGCCTGACATGTCTGGGGACGGGGATGCTGCTTCTGGGGAGGGGCTGTCTCATGAAGACAGAATCGTTGTTTTACCAAGCAGCGTCATGCCAACCCCAGATACTCCAGATGAAAGTAAGATGAGTGTAACTGCAAGCATAGAGAACGTAAACAATCAGAATAATGTCATGGCAACCGCCGCGAACAGTGAAACAAGTTTCACGACAACCATGGATATCCCAGATGACAGTCGGACTAGTTTCACTGTAACAACAGAAAACACTGACAGAGGCACGACAGAGTCATACACCCGGTCAGACGCCACACCCATCGAGTCCACATTCACCCACGGCCCCGACATCACAGGAAGAATCAGTGAAACTCAGAGTGAGACAGTCACACCATACATCCCCAGTGTCAGTAGGTCTAGTGGGTCTAGTGGTGAGTTGTACGATCTGGAGAGGAACACGACAGTACATCTGAGGCAACCCCTCACCCTCCGCCTCACAGTGACCGACACCACAGACGAGACCCGGATCCTGTTCTCCGGAGAAGCACCTGCAGAACCGGAGACCTCCACCGGGGCGGTGCAATCGCTCCTCACCGACCCCAACGTCACCCCCATGATGGACAGTCCCAGATCACCCCCCAGAGAGCCTGAGATCCACACAGCCACTGACCCAGACAGCCAGACCACCTTCACTGCGGTCACCACCACCGAGAGAGAGCAGGATGAGATCACTTTCCACACCACCCAGAGGATCAAGTCCCCCCGTCTGCCTGCAGGCTCCACCATCATCTCCCGCCAGCAGATCCACATCATCCCCCCTAAGAATGGCCGAGGAGGAGGTGGAAGAGGGGGCCGGAGGAGGAACTACCCTGGCAGGAGGAGGTTCATCAAGCCCAACCGGATCACAGACATCCAGTCCATCCTGAACAAACTCAAACAGCCCACCACGGTGAAGAAGCGAGGCAACAACACAGTATCCTACACTATGGAGCTGACCACAGGTACGTTATGTCATGCTAACTGTAAGTCGCTCTGGATAAGAGCGTCTGCTAAATGACTAAAATGTAAATGTAAATGTATGTTGTTGAAATATGATATGTAGTTTCTACACTATGGAGCTGACCACAGGCACGTTATCCCAAGCAATATTTTTTTTTTCATATAAGGAAATCAGTTAATTGAAATAAAGAAATTAGGCCCTAATCTATGGATTTCACATGACTGGGCAGGGGCGCAGCCATGGGGGAGCCAGCCCCAGCCAATAAGAATGAGTTTTTCCACACAAAAGGGCTTTATTATAGTCAGAAATACTCCTCCTCAGTTTCATCAGCTGTCCAGGTGGCTGGTCCCAGACGAAGATGAAGAAGCTGGATGTGGAGGTCCTGGGCTGGCGTGGTTACACGTGGTCTGCAGTTGTGAGGCCGGTTGGACGTACTGCCAAATTCTCTAAAATGTCGTTGGAGGCGCCTTATGGTAGAGACATTACATTTACATTTACATTTTAGTCATTTAGCAGACGCTCTTATCCAGAGCGACTTACAGGAGCAATTAGGGTAAAGTGCCTGGCTCAAGGGCACATTTACGTCATTTAGCAGACGCTCTTATCCAGAGCGACTCACCAATTGGTGCGTTCACCCTATAGCCAGTGGGATAGCCACTTTACAATTTTTTTTTGGGGGGGGGGGGGGGGGGCGGGGGGGGGGGGGTAGAAGGATTACTTATCCTATCCCAGGTATTCCTTAAAGAGGTGGGGTTTCAAATGTCTCCGGAAGGTGGTGAGTGACTCCGCTGTCCTGGCGTCGTGAGGAGGCTTGTTCCACCATTGGGGTTGCCAGAGCAGCGAACAGTTTTGACTGGGCTGAGCGGGAACTATGCTTCCGCAGAGGAAGGGGAGCCAGCAGGCCAGAGGTGGATGAACGCAATGCCCTCGTTTGGGTGTAGGGACTGATCAGAGCCCGAAGGTACAGAGGTGCCGTTCCCCTCACTGCTCCATAGGCAAGCACCATGGTCTTGTAGCGGATGCGAGCTTCAACTGGAAGCCAGTGGAGTGTGCGGAGGAGGGGGGTGACGTGAGAGAACTTGGGAAGGTTGACATTAACATTCAATTATCTGGCAACAGCTCTGGTGGACATTCCTGCGGTCAGCATACCATTTGCACACTCCTTCAAAACTTGTGACATCTGTGGCATTGTGTTGTGACAAAACTGCACATTTTAGAGTGGCCTTTTACTGTCCCCAGCACAAGGTGAACCTGTGTAATGATCATGCTGTTTAATCAGCTTCTTAATATGCCACACCTGTCAGGTGGATGGACAAATGTGTGCACATTTGAGAGAAATAAGCATTTTGTGCGTATGGAACATTTCTGGGATCCTTTCTTTCAGCTCATGAAACATGGGACCAACATTTTGCATGTTGTGTATATATTTTTGTTCAGTATACTATCGTCACACTTCAATACACTTATTAAAAGTGTACTTTAAATTCAAATGCTTTAATTTTAATTTAGTATATTCACTTAAAATACACTTGGAGTATTTTGATTTTTTTAAATAAAACTGCTTGTGAGTGATCAAGTACACTGTAAGTATACTTGCAAAAATATGAATACTCCTCGTATTTCTTCACATTTTGTTGTGTTACAAAGCGAGATTACAATTGATTTAATTGTAATGTGTTCCCAACAATGAACTCAAAATACTCTGTAATGTCAAAGTAAAAAATAAATAGTAAGATGAATAAAAATGAGATAACTAAAATATAGTAATTGCATAATTAATTAATTAATTAATTAATTAATTAATTAATTAATTAATTGCATATACTAAATGTAGTATTCAGCCCCTTTGTTTAGGCATAAATTAGTTCAGGGGTAAAATGTGGCTTAACAAATTACACATGGACTCACTCTGTGTTAAATAATAGGGGTTGACAGGGTTTTTTAATTACTAACCTTTCTTCATAAAGAAGGGCAGTGATTGGTAGATGGGTAACAATATCAAATCAGACATTGAATATCTCTTTACGCATGGTCAAGTTAATAATGATGCTGTGGATTATGTATTAAAACCACCCAGACACATCAAAGATATACAGTCGTCCTCCCGAACTGAGCTGCAGGACGGGAATTAAACTGCTCGGGGAATGTTACAGTGAGGCCATTGGTGATTTTAAAATGGCTACAGAGTTCAATGGCTGTGATGGGAGAAAACTGAGGATGAATCGACAACGCTGTAGTGATAATAATATTAATAATAATAATAATAAAATACTGACATGAAAAGAAGAATAAAAATATACAGAGTAAAAATATATTATTTTTATTTATGCCGCATCCTGTTTGCAACAAGGCACTAAAGTAATACTGCAAAGGAATACACTTTTTTGCCAAAATGCAAAGCCTTACGTCTGAGGCAAATCCAACACAACATGTCACTGAGTTAACTGCCTCCCTATTTTCAAGCATGGTGGTGGCTGCATCATGGTATGGGTATGGTTGACATCGGCAAATACTGGGGAGTTTTTCAGGATGAAAAGAAACAGGATGGAGCTAAGCACGGGCAAAATACTAGAGGAAAACCTGCTTCAGTATGCTTTACAACAGACACCGGGAGAGGAATTCACCTTTTAGCAGGACAATAACCTAACACACAAGGACTTGAAGAAGACAGTAAATGTTCCTGAGTGGCCAAGTTACAGTTTTGACTTAAATTTGCTTGAAAATCTATGACAAGACTTGAACATTGCTGTGTAGCCATGATCCCTAACATCTTGACAGATCTTGAAGGATTGAGAACAGAATAAGGGGTTCATATTGTATAATCCAGGTGCGTAAAGCTCTCATAGAGTTACCCAAGAAGACTCACCTCTGTAATTGCTGCCAAAGGTGTTTCTATGTATGGACTCAGGAGCTGAATACTTATGCAACAACTATATCTGAGTTATTTAATGTCTATCAATCTTGACAAAATGTAAAATAAAATATTTGTGTAGATTGTTGAAAATTTTTTTACAATTAAATCAATTTTAATCCCACTTTGCAACAATAACATTTTAAGAAATCCAAGGGGTATGAAAACTTTTGCAAGGCACTGTAGTTTTAGTGGCAATAATGAGTTTTGAAGTACAGTGCCTTGCAAAAGTATTCAACCCCCTTGGCGTTTTTCCTATTTTGTTGCATTACATTGGAGTATCTGTCCATAGGACCACTTTAAGCCATACACTCCACAGAGCTGGGATTTACGGAAGAGTGGCCAGAAAAAAGCCATTGCTTAAAGAAAAAAATAAGCAAACACGTTTGGTGTTCGCCAAAAGGCATGTGGGAGACTCCGCAAACATATGGAAGAAGGTACTCTGGTCAGATGAGACTAAAATTGAGCTTTTTGGCCATCAAGGAAAACGCTATGTCTGGCGTTAAACCCAACACATCTCATCACCCCGAGAACACCATCCCCACAGTGAAGCATGGTGGTGGCAGCATCATGCTGTGGGGATGTTTTTCATCGGCAGGGACTGGGAAACTGGTCAGAATTGAAGGAATGATGGATGGCGCGAAATACAGGGAAATTCTTGAGGGAAACCTGTTTCAGTCTTCCAGAGATTTGAGACTGGGATGGAGGTTCACCTTCCAGCAGGACAATGACCCTAAGCATACTGCTAAAGCAACACTCAAGTGGTTTAAGGGGAAACATTTAAATGTCTTGGAATGGCCTAGTCAAAGCCCAGACTTCAATCCAATTGAGAATCTGTGGTATGACTTAAAGATTGCAGTACACCAGCGGAACCCATCCAACTTGAAGGAGCTGGAGCAGTTTTGCCTTGAAGAATGGGCAACAATCACAGTGGCTAGATGTGCCAAGCTTATAGAGACATACCCCAAGAGACTTGCAGCTGTAATTGCTGCAAAATGGTGGCTCTACAAAGTATTGACTTTGGGGGGTTGAATGGTTATGCACGCTCAAGTTTTCAGTTTTTTTGTCTTATTTCTTGTTTGTTTCACAATTAAAAATATTTTGCATCTTCAAAGTGGTAGGCATGTTGTGTAAATCAAATTATACAAACCTCCCAAAAATCAATTTTAATTCCAGGTTTTAAGGCAACAAAATAGGAAAAATGCCAAGGGGGGTGAATACTTTCGCAAGCCACTGTATTTTATTATTAATTTTTTGTCATTTAGCAGACGCTCTTATCCAGAGCGACTTACAGGAGCAATTAGGGTTAAGTGCCTTGCTCAAGGGCACACCGACAGATTTTTCACCTAGTCGGCTCAGGGATTAGAACCAGCGACCTTTCGGTTACTGGCACAACACTCTTAAGCACTAAGCTACCTGCCGCTGTACTTTGCTTAATTCTTGTTCAGAAGAGTGCAGAGAAAGTTGACAACGATAACGATTCTTTATTCCACATAAGGTAGCATGCACAGCTGAGGAACATGCTTCCTGAGAGTATACTTTTTCATATCTCAAGTAAATATACTTATGTATACTTTCAAAAAAGTATATTTAAAATAAATGTCCACAAAATATATTAAAGTATACTTTCAAAATTGCATTTCCTAATGTTTTGCATATTACCCAGCATCCTTTTCTGCAGCTGAAGTTTTTATGTATAATATGATATTGTTCCTCATATTAACTTATTCAAATGTTTTCATGTTCATTTTCAAACTGAAAAATGTTGTACTTTTAATTACACATTACATATGACACATTACACATTTTAATGAAATGTTAATTTATCACCATGTGAACAACTAAAGTGTGAAATGCCAGTTATCAAAAGTGTAACTTGTGATTTGCTGCTCCAGCCACAACTCCTTTGTAAATAGCATTGGCTGAGAAGATGCCTTGGTAAATGAAGGTCATCTTTACATGGCTAATTACAATAGCTAATGTGGTTAATGAGTAGAAGTGTATTTGTAAAATTATACTTGAAACATGTTATAAAAGCACTTTCTTTGTAAAGACATTCAATACAATTTTAGTACATTTCTAATTTATGAGAAATATACATACAATGTACTTAAGGTGTATTTGTTTCGCTCTTTATCCAATATACTAAGAAAAAAGTGTCCCAATTTAGGTAATTTTAAATATATATATATTTTTTTACATTTAGCAGACACTCTTATCCAGAGCGACTTACAGGAGCAATTAGGGTTAAGTGCCTTGCTCAAGGGCACATCGACAGATTTTTCACCTAGTCGGCTCAGGGATTAGAACGAGCAACCTTTCGGTTACTGGCACTACGCTCTTAACCACTAAGCTACCTGCCGCCCTTATAAACTTAATAAACTTAAATGCTAATAAAATACAAATACAATTGACATTAAATGTATTTAAAATTGTTCCAATTTAGATAATTTAAATATACTTAAATATACTTATACTTGTCATGTTGTTGAAATATGTCATGTAGTTTCTTGTCTTTGATGTTGACATTATCTTTGTTAGTGTGAGTCTTGAGCTATGAGGAATAGCCAAAAGATGATGATGATAATGATGATGATAACGATGATGATGATGAGGATTATGATGATGATAATGATGATGATAACGATGATGACGATGATGATGATGATAACGATGATTATGATGATGATGATGATAATGATGATGATGATGATAACGATGATGATGATGATGATGATGATAACGACGATGATGATGATGATGATGATGATGATGATGATGATGACGATGATGATGATGATGATGATGATGATGATAGCAATACTGATGATGATGATAACGATGATGATGATAGCAATAATGATGATGATGATGATGATGATGATGATGATAGCAATATTGATGATGATGATCATTGTTATTGTTGTTGCTATTTCAGACTGTGACTGTGATGAAGATGGGAAGAAGAAGACAGGTGGTCAGCGGGTCGTCACACCAACAACATCGCCTAAATCACCCAAAGTCCCTAGCTCCTCTCTAGGAAGAACAGAGAGGCCCATCTCTACAACACTGGACACTCCCACCACCACATACTCAACAGAGGCCCCCACCACCACCACCCAGCCCACCCTCACTCACTCTCAGTCCAGAGGTGAGGTATCCAGCGGCTACATGACCTCCGCTGACGCCCCAGAGTCTGACCCAACACATGACCCTATGACGAGCACAACAGATGAACCAACAACCTCCACCACCATCACAACCACAACCGCCTCCAAGGTCGTCCATGCTAAGATAAACTGGGGCAGGGTGTTTGGGAACAAGGCGAGGCAGAAGGACAAACTCAACAGGTTACGTAAGCCAGCCTGGCCCACCACCACCACCACCACAGAGGGCTCAACAACAGTCCAACCCACAACTACAACCACAACCGCACTGCCCACCCAGCGGTCTCTGGCTGAACCTGTGACCGAGTCACCGTCTAGAGCAGGTAAACACAGAGAGACCCCAGAGGGCTCATCAGACGATGACTATGGGGATTCATGGCCTGACTCTGAGGCCTCGACCACACCTCAGCCTGCCACTAGCCGTGGAACTACAGCCCCAGCCTATGACTACAGGTCCTCCACCACCACAGAGTCTTCCCCTGACACCCAGACCATCGCCTCCCCACCCACAGAAAAACCTGCCCCAAGAGAAGACACAGTTGAGGCCTCGTCCTCTGGGTCTGAATCCGGAGGGTCAGGGGGGTACCTATCCCGTAGATTTTGGGGAAACCGGAGACCGAATGGAGGGTCAGGGGGCAGGAGGCCTTTCAGGGGCAGGAGGCCTTTCAGAAAAACCACAACAACTACCGAAGCCCCCAGCACCACCATAGAAACAACAGAGACCACCATGGAAACCACCATGGAGACCACCATGGAAACCACCATGGAGACCACCATGGAGACTACCATGGAGACCACCATGGAGACTACCATGGAGACTACCATGGAGACCACCATGGAGACCACCATGGAGACCACCATGGAGACCACCATGGAGACCACCACATATCCCACACGGACCGTCTCCGTCTCCAAGCCCCTGTACACACCCTCCAGAGCATCAGAAAGGTCTGCAGTGACTGTGTCCACTGACATTACCTTCGAGGGAGAAACCACAACAGACTCCGACTCATACGACGACGAGAACTGGACAGATGAGATGGAGTCCACCACTAACCGTCCACGAGCCTACACTTCCACCACCAGGCCTAGAATGACCTCTACCACACCTTATCCAACCACCACCTCAAGGCCTTACACTGCATCATCAACCCGCGCCCAGACTAACACCGACTCCATCAGAATGAACACTAGCATCAGGCTCCCGTCAGGGAGAGATAACCGTTACCAGATCCCACAGAGACCCATGATCAGGAGAACCAGGCCCACGGTGTCCAGCAACAAGGCCAGACCAAGCCCAGACAAGACCCTGACCTTTGACACATTGACTGTTCTGGAAGCAGAGCAGGAGCACACCAATAACCCCTACAGCAGCAAGGACATAGACAATGCCATCTCCAACGCCTATACCCACATCACCGGCTATGATACGACAACCGCTAACATTGTGGGCTTTGAGCCGTCTACCAAGGACATGCCCACCAAACCCAGGATCGTGGGAGGCAACGCGGCCAGCTTCACTGTCCTGTCCAACTCAGATGCCTTCCTGCCCTGTGAGGCCGCGGGCAGCCCTGAACCCACCATCAGCTGGAAACGCTTCTCTTCAAGCACGGGTATGGAAAATAAAAGGGTATAGATACTTAGCATGTTATAAAACTACTTTGGAATGGAAGGTTATAATGGTATGGGTTAATGGACAGGAGGGAGAGAGAGATTCTTCTCTCGCAAAGGAGAGAGACATGGGGAGAAAAAAACAACACAATAAAACAAAGAAAAAAAATAATGAGAGAAGGAGAGGAAGAGAGAGAGAGAGAGGAAAAAGAGAGGAAAGGGGAGGAGAGGCGGGCGTGCGGGAGGGCGGAAGGGAGGGAGGGAGGAGGGAGGAGGGAGTGAGGGAGGGAGGCGGGAGGGAGGGGGAGGGAGGGGGGGGGGGGAGGCGAGGAGGGCGGAGCGAGCTAGGCTGCAGTAGAGCTAGCGACGACGAGAGCATAGTAGCTCATGCTCTTATCGCTCTCCTCTCTCTCTCTCTCTCTCTCTCTCTCTCCTTTCCCCCCCATCTCTCACCATATCCCCCCCCATCCATCGCTCACCTCCCTCCCTCCCTCCCCCCTGTTCCTACCTTCCTTTCAGGAAGCACATTGACCATCAAGGGCAAGATGGGCAAGTTTGAGGTGTTCCAGAACGGCACTCTGTCCATCCAGAACGCCAACATCAAAGACCGTGGCCAGTACCTCTGCCTGGCCGAGAACGACCAGGGGTCAGACAAGCTCCTGGTCACCCTGTCCGTGGTGGCCTACCCCTCACGCATCCTGGAGCCCAAGGTACGGGAGATCAAGTCCCACTCAGGGAAGACTGTGGAGATGAAGTGCAAGGCGGAGGGCCGCCCCACCCCTCTGGTCTCCTGGATCCTGGCCAACCGCACCCAAGTCAGGGGCCACAATTCGGACCCCAGAGTGTCAGTGACCCCAGAGGGCACTCTGCTCATCAAGCAGGTGTCTGTGTATGACCGGGGCCACTACAAGTGCATCGCCAGTAACCCTGCTGGAGCCGACACTGCCACTGTCAGACTGCAGGTGGTGGCAGCACCCCCTGGCATCCTGGAGGCCAAACGACAGCAGGTCCAGGCCGGTGTGGGTCAGAGCCTGTGGTTACCCTGTACAGCTCAGGGCAGCCCCCAGCCCACCGTACACTGGGTCCTCTACGATGGAATGGCGGTGCTGCCCCTGAAGCCCTCTGTGGACCCCAGGTTGTCTGTGTTCGCTAACGGAACGCTCCACCTGACCGATACGGCCGCCACGGACAGTGGGAAGTACGAGTGCATCGCCACCAGCTCAACAGGGTCGGAGCGCAGGGTGGTGAAGCTGACGGTGGAGAATAGGGCCCCTGAGATCACCGAGGCATCACACCGCAGGACGGTGCTTTCGTATGGGGACCAGCTGAGGCTGAACTGTTCGGCCACCGGGGACCCCAAACCCAGGATCATCTGGAGACTACCCTCCAAAGCTGTGGTGGACCAGTGGCACAGGTAATGAGGACATGATCTGTAATACACACGTAATCACACAGACTATTTAGAGACATACAGGCACAACCACACACATGCAGATAAACATGCACACACACTGAAAGGTATCCAGGTTCTCCGTGCTACAACACAGCTGTCTAAACACACCAAATGAGACATCATTGTAACTTCTCCCGAAATGATTTAGTTGTGTTTCCAGTGCAGAGAGCTAAGACTGGGGTTTATCCAGAGAGAAGAATCGTGCCTCTTCAGTACAAGGTTAAGTTAGTCCAGCCATGCATTGAGAAAATGTACAGAAAAGTGGATTGAAAACAGAGAGACTTGACCGGGGCAGCTTTAACAGGGTAGAAATTTGACGAACTGCCCTGTTGGAAAGGTGGCATCCTTTGACGGTGCCACGTTGAAAGTCACTGAGCTCTTCACACCCGTTGCCAATGTTTTGTCTATGGAGATTGCATGGCTGTATACACCTGTCAGCAACGGGGTGTGGCTGAAATAGCCGAATCCAATAATGTGAAGGGGTGTCCACATACTTTTGTATATATAGTACTTCTCCCTATTAGCTGAAATCCATTTTAGCTGCAGCAGTTTGGTCCGAACAGATTCACAAATCATGAAGATGTTGTGTCCCTCTGGGGCACATGTTGCTACGCAACCCCCACTTAGCAGACCTACTCCCTCCGTGGCTAAAGCCAGTTTGAGAAACGTGCTAACAAACGTTTGTGCTATGAAACTAAATAAATACAGCACTATAACCCACAAAACGTATTTGCTAGATTCATGATAGTGTTGTTAGACAAAACAAAGAAAGTGAACTTCAAAAACGTAATGTAGTTTTATTGAAATAGCTGAATAATCCACTAATTTGAAGGGTTGTCTACATACTTTTGTATGTATAGTGTATCTCTGTTTTCATTTGAAAGTTTAGGGTCTCTATTTTTTATCATCAGATTAGTCTAACCCCATGTGTTTAACACCAGGCTCAAAGGATCAGTTGGAAGGAAAACAATGTTTTGCTTTGTCTGAGTTTGTTTATAAACACTGGACTTTGTTTTCAAAAGAATAGCGTGCCAGTGTCCCCGTCCTCTAAGACTGATATTATCATATGCACTGTGTGGTGACATTTCAATTCATACAGGATATATTTTTTATTTGTTTCAATACCGAGATTTCAACATGCACGCAAGTGGACTTACACGTTTGGACCTAACCGGGAAAAAGGTTTCCTTTGAATTGATATTCAGACGCCACCTCTAAAGATCATTAGCAGTAACAAAAACTCGGCAGCATCTGATCTAAAGCTGCATGTTAATGTAATCTCTCTATGGACAAAAGCTACAGACTATAGTCTTCAAATGAACCCTGTCATCTCATGACAAGCCGTAGCATGCTGTTAAACCCAATGAACGTTACCCAGTATAAATTACCTTATTGAACCTCTTAATCTTTTGTCCATTAGCATTAGCAGTGGTTTTTAGCTGGGGAAAACCTGAGACCAGAATAACTGAGGGGGTGTTTGCCAGAATAACAAGGCAAGACGACGGATTTTAGACTGGATATCAACACGAACAAGTTTTATATTTTATTTGAGCGAGGACCCAGTCAGAGATTCTTAAAGATGAACATGAGAGTACCAGAAGAACACAAGGCATCCTGGCGGAGGACTTTATATTGCTCCTAATACTGTAGCTGATATTCTGCTATGTATCCTCTCTGCATGCAACCACTGAAAAAAGAGCTTGTATGTATTTTGGAAGTCTCTTTGGAACAGAGACCTATGTAGCACATTGGCAAAAAAATAAAAATACAACACTTCCATTGTGAATGTAACTGTAGAAAAATGTATCACCTAATGGTTTGATTCACTGGTCAGTTCATAAAATCATTATTCCCCCCCCCCCACCCCCTCCCTACTTCATTAGTGGAATGTTTTTCCCCCTCTCCCTCTGTTTCTTGTCCGATTTAAACTGGTTGCTTGGCAACCCTGACAGGTTTCTTATTAGTGTTTTATTATTTTCTGCAACTGTTGTAGGTTTCGGAAGAAGCCATTATTGTGAGTCATAGCCAATGGCCTTGATAAAAGACAGATCCAGGTGAAATAGACTTACGCTGATCTGCTGTAAGCCCGACTGACCCTGTAAGAATGGCACACTCAACGTGTGTTTTATGGAGATGGATGGAAATACCAAGCAGGAGCACATATAAGCCCCACAGGAGGAAAAGTCATTTCGACGTTGGTCACGTGATGACATGACTGCTGCTGTTTAAAACAGAACATTTTCCCCAGTCGTCTCAACCCTAAGTGGCCTACTATACTCTGCATGTTTTTACATGGAACATGTTATTGTAAAATCAATCATAGGAAATAATATAATATAAAGCAACATTCTTTCTATGTTTCGACAATTCTGTATTTGTTGTTATATTCAAATGATGACACATACCCAACTCTTCTTCACACCTCTTCATCCAGGATGGGAAACAGGATCCAGGTCCTGGACAATGGCACCCTGATCATCGACTCTGTAAGTGACAAGGACGCTGGGGACTACCTGTGTGTGGCGCGCAGCAAGGTGGGAGACGACCTCCAGCTCATGAAGGTCACTGTGTCCATGAAGCCGGCCAAGATCGAGCCTAAGACATACAGCAAGAAGCAGGTCCCCTACGGCAACGACCTGAAGGTGGACTGCAAAGCGTCTGGGGCCCCGGAGCCAGAGATCTCCTGGGGCCTGCCGGACGGCACCGTGGTCAACAGCGCCCTGCAGGCAGACAGCACCAGTAGAGGGGGACGCGCACGACGATACATCCTGTTTGATAATGGCACGCTTTATCTCAACCAGGTGTGAAATCTACCTGAACACTAGTTAGTTAATGCATTGGATTGCTCCTGTGTAGGAATAGTGGGCTTTATTCAATGGCCAACTCAATGTTGCTAAATCTCTTCCTTTTCTGTCTTTGTACTCCTCTGACACTGAACTGCTGGTACTGTGTCTGTCTACAGGTGGGCATGGCGGAGGAGGGTGACTACACGTGCTACGCCGAGAACCAGCTGGGCAAGGATGAGATGCACGTACACATCACCGTGGTGACGGCAGCGCCACGGATACGGATGCCCAGCCGGACCTACGCCCAGGTGAAGCCTGGAGGCAACATCCGCTTAGACTGCGAGGCCGTGGGCGAGCCCAAGCCCAAGATCCTGTGGATGCTCCCCACCAACGACATGATCGCAGCCTCCAATGAGCGCTACCTGATGCATGTCAACGGGTCTCTAGATATCCGGGACGTTAAGCTTAGGGATGCTGGTGAGTACGTTTGCATGGCTCGCAACACCGCCGGGGATGATAGCAAGGTTTACAAGCTGGATATTGACGGCAACCCTCCGGTTATCAACGGCTACCACCAGAACAGGACCGTGGTGAAAGACACGGCCGCCAAGTACTCCAGGAAGTTCATAGACTGCAAGGCCGCTGGAGACCCGCCTCCGAAGATCACATGGATCATGCCGGATAACATCTTCCTGAATGCTCCGTATTTCGGCAGCAGAATCAACGTCCACCACAACGGAACACTGGAGTTCCGGAACGTCCGTCCGACGGACATGGCGGAGTTCATCTGCATGGCGAGGAATGACGGAGGGGAGGCGGTGATGGTGGTGCAGCTGGAGGTCACTGACATGCTCCGACGGCCCATCTTCAAGAACCCCTTCAACGAGAGGGTGGTGACCCGCATTGGCAAGACCACGGTGTTGAACTGTTCTGCAGACGGTCACCCCACACCAGAGATCATCTGGCTGCTGCCTAATGGGACCCGCTTCACTGGCAGCCCCGACCGGGGCTCGCGCCAACACCTAGGCAACGACGGAACCTTCGTCATCTACAACCCCAGCAAGGATGATGCTGGGAAGTACCACTGTGCAGCTAAGAACTCGATGGGCTACATTGAGAAGCTGATAGTTCTGGAGGTAGGCCAGAAGCCCTTAATCCTCACCAGGCCCAGAGGGATCATACGCAGTGTGTCTGGGGACCCTCTGTTCCTCCACTGCCTGGCTGACGGTAGCCCCAGACCCAGTATCTACTGGACCATCCCTGGAGGCCACACCCTGGCCAGGCCGCAGGTCCACGGACGCCACCAGCTGATGGAGAACGGGACCCTGGTTGTCAGGGACACCACCCTCCACGACCGGGGAAACTACGTGTGTCGGGCGCGGAACGATGCTGGCGAGGCGGTTCTCACAGTGCCAGTCATCATCATCGCCTATCCTCCCCGCATCACCACGGGACCCCCTCCCACCGTGAGGGCGGTGGCGGGGGCGCTCATCCAACTCAACTGTGCCGCCATCGGGATCCCAAAGCCGGAGATGACCTGGGAGCTGCCTGACCGCTCTGTGCTCTCCACGGCTGGGAAAGGGCGGCCCACGGGCAGCGAGCTGCTCCACCCTCAGGGCACGCTGATCATCCAGAGACCCACCACAGCAGACTCTGGCACCTACAAGTGCCTGGCCAAAAATCACCTGGGTACGGACTCACGGGTCACATATGTGCATGTGCTGTGAAGAGCAGCGCTGACTAAAGGTGAATATAAAGCCCCTAGAATATAAGCTTTAAACAGACACAGTAACTTCACAGTGTCTCCTATAATCTACAATGTCAGGACAGACTGTTTTTCCACATGTGGACTTGCGAGGAGCGGGCTTCGTGGAATAGTTTGACCACGGTACAGCTTACATCAATCAGCCAAGTAGAAGAACAGGGTTATTGAGAGGAGGAGGAGGAGGAAAAGGAGGAGGGAAAGGAGGATGAGGAGGAGGAGGAGGAGGAGGAGGAGGAAGGAAAGGAGGAGGGAAAGGAGGAGGAGGAGGAGGAGGAGGAGGGAAAGGAGGAGGGAAAGGAGGAGGAGGAGGAGGAGGGAAAGGAGGAGGGAAAGGAGGAGGAGGAGGAGGAGGGAAAGGAGGAGGAAAAGGAGGAGGGAAAGGAGGAGGAGGAAAGGAGGAGGAGGAGGAGGGAAAGGAGGAGGAGGAGGAGGAGGAGGAGGAGGAGGAGGAGGAGGGAAAGGAGGAGGGAAAGGAGGAGGAGGAGGAGGAGGAGGAGGGAAAGGAGTGAGGCTGCATGTTTTTTAAAGGGTCTAGAGACTGGGTCTGACAGTGAGGCTATATGTTTATTAAAGGATCTAGAGACTGGGTCTGACAGTGAGGCTATATGTTTATTAAAGGATCTAGAGACTGGGTCTGACAGTGAGGCTACATGTTGACAGTTCTGTCCAGACACTATGCTGTTACAGCCTATGGATAGATGGGAAGAGACACTGCCTCAAGGTTTATCACTCTTTTTTGGTTGTTTTGTGACTGATTTGCTGCAATGACAGAGTGCGGAAAATACTATTATGAGAATGTTTCTACCTATTCTGACTTATTCTGACTTTATATACAAGCAGTATATTGTTACGGAACCTGCCAAATATATATTTCTCATATACATTTTACACTGGATTGTCATACAGTTTCTCACATTTCTAAATGTTGATCTTTTTGAATGAGCTTTGTTTGTCTGTAATGTTCTCTATCTCCCCTCTCATGGTTTGACAGTGCTTGTATCGATACAAATGCAGTAATTCTATTGGTATGAATACCAACTTTTATGGATGTGAAATTATAAGTTACACATTATTCAGTGGCATTTTATGAACTGTCTCTCAAAGTAAATACAATTATGCATTATTGCTTTTATGTAATAATATATTTATGCCTTTTGTAGCTAATATCGATTTTGTGGAAATTAATTGGTGCTTAGGTGTACATGAATGGTACCTGGGAGATGAAATTAAATCAAAGATGGAATGTGTTTCTTGTCCTGTATTTTGTCCTGGGTGGTTGTCATTAGGAACAGCACCTCTGTTCCCTGTAGAGGAGGGAGGTAGAGGTCATTAGGAACAGCACCTCTGTTCTCTGTGGAGGAGGGAGGTGGAGGTCATTAGGAACAGCACCTCTGTTCCCTGTGGAGGAGGGAGGTGGAGGTCATTAGGAACAGCACCTCTGTTCCCTGTAGAGGAGGGAGGGGGGAGGTCATTAGGAACAGCACTTCTGTTCCCTGTAGAGGAGGGAGGGGGGTTGAGCTTCTCTCCCTACCCTGGGATGTTCCAGAGGGACAACATACTCTGTTTTTCTGACATTTGGCTTTCCTCCGACATCCAGACGGATTATATACAACCAGCAGGTTTTTCGAGCGGATAGGAAGCGGGCTCTCTCTGGCAAGAGCAAAGGTAGTGGGCTCTGCTTCATGACTAACAGCAAGTGGTGCGACGGAGGAAACGTACAGGAACCAGAGAGCTTCTGCTCCCCGACTTGGAATACTTGGTCATCAAATGTCGCCATTTTTTTCCTTCCGAGAGAGTTCTCAGGGATTATCGCCATGGCTGTGTGCGTCCCGCCTTAAATCGCCACCAAAAAGGCTCTCAAGGATCCTCACAAGGGTGCGTCCTCAGTCCCCTCCTGTATTTCCTGTATTATTTGTATTTTATTAAGATCCCCACTGTTGCAAAAGTAGCAGCTACTCTTCCTGGGGTCCACACAAAACATGAAACATGACATAATACAGAACATTAATAGACAAGAACAGCTCAAGGACAGAACTACATCAATGTTTTTTAAAGGCACACGTGGCCTACATGTTAATGCAAACACAAAATATCTAGGTCAAATAGGGGAGAGGCGTTGTGCCGTGAGGTGTTGCTTTTTCTGTTTTTTGAAACCAGGTTTGCTGTTCGTTTGAGCAATATGAGATGGAATGGAGTTCCATGCAATAATGTCTCTATATACCCACGACTGCGTGGCCTCACACAGTTCAAACTCCATCATCATGTCCGCTGTCAACACAACAGTAGTAGGCCTGATTACCAACATGACGAGACACTCTACAGAGAGGAGGGAGGCACTCTGACGGTGTGGTGCCAGGTAAACAACCTCTCCCTCAACTTTAGCAAAACAAAGGAGCTGTGTCACGATCGTCTAAGGAAGCGGACCAAGGCGCAGCGTGTGAAACAAACATGACTTTATTTAATTAAACTATCAAACAAAACACGACTCGTGAAGTCCACGGTTAACAATACCGACACGGAACAAAAACCCACAACACCCAAGGGAAAACATACAGTTTAAATATGGCTCCCAATCAGAGACAACCCACAACAGCTGACACTCGTTGCCTCTGATTGGGAGCCACTCTGGCCAACATAGACATAGAACAACTTAGAATACCCAACATAGAAAATGAACACATAGAATGAACACACCCTGGCTCAACATATAGAGTCCCAGAGCCAGGGTGTGACAGTACCCCCCCCTAAAGGCGCGGACTGCGACCGCGCCTCAATAAGAGCTAAACAGGGGAGGGCTGGGTGGGCATACCTCCTCGGCGGCGGTTCTGGCTCCGGCCTTGCCCACCACCCTTCCATAATTCCCCCGTAGCGCCCCTGGTCCGGTCTGACCCCGCTGGCTGGATCTGGACTGGACATTGACGGAGCGGATTGCTTACGCTCCGTTGTGGAGCAGCTGACCGGTCTTACCAGGCTGACGACTCGCACCCCGGGCTTGGTGCGAGTAGCAGGAACGGGCTGAACCAGGCTGACGACTCGCACCCCTGGCTTGGTGCGAGTGGCAGGAACGGGCTGGACCAGGCTGACGACGCACACCGTAGGCTTGGTGCGTGGAGCAGGGACAGGCCGGGCTGGGCTGGCGATGCACACCGTAGGCTTGGTGCGTGGAGCAGGGACAGGCCGGGCTGGGCTGTCGACGCACACCGTAGGCTTGGTGCGTGGAGCTGGGACAGGCCGGACAGGGCTGGCGACGCACACCGTAGGCTTGGTGCGTGGAGCAGGGACAGGCCGGGCTGGGCTGGCGACGCACACCGTAGGCTTGGTGCGTGGAGCAGGGACAGGCCGGGCTGGGCTGTCGACGCACACCGTAGGCTTGGTGCGTGGAGCAGGGACAGGCCGGACAGGGCTGTCGACGCACACCGTAGGCTTGGTGCGTGGAGCAGGGACAGGCCGGACAGGGCTGGCGACGCACACCGTAGGCTTGGTGCGTGGAGCAGGAACAGGCCGGGCTGGGCTGACGACGCACACCGTAGGCTTGGTGCGTGGAGCAGGGACAGGCCGGACAGGTCTGGCGACGCACACCGTAGGCTTGGTGCGTGGAGCAGGAACAGGCCGGGCAGGGCTGGCGACGCACACCGTAGGCTTGGTGCGTGGAGCAGGAACAGGCCGGGCTGGGCTGGCGACGCACACCGTAGGTTTAGTGCGTGGAGCAGGGACAGGCCGGGCTGGGCTGTCGACGCACACCGTAGGCTTGGTGCGTGGAGCAGGGACAGGCCGGACTGGGCTGGCGACGCACACCGTAGGCTTGGTGCGTGGGGCAGGAACAGGCCGGACCGTACTGGGAACACACACCACTGGCCTTAAACGGGGATCAGGAACGGGCCGGACCGGACTGGCAATACACCTCAGTACCTCTCACCGTGCCTCTACAACTTCCTTCCCTCCTCTCGCCAATGGCTCCCGTAACCCGGTGGCCTTCTCTCCTCGTCTCCCATTTCGCCCTGTGGCAGCCTCCTGCTGCCCAGTCGCCCATGCCGTGTGCCCCCCCCTAAAAAATTATTGGGGGTGCCTCTCGTCCTTCCGACGATGGCACTGCTGACGCCGCTGCTCCTCTCTCGCCAGGGCCTTAATCCTACCCCAAGGTCCCTTGCCCCCGAGCATGTCTTCCCAGGACCACGATTTGCCCACCTGGGCCATCGCCAGCCTCTCCATCTCCTTTCCTGGCGCTTCCTCCCATGTCCAGTCTGCCTGCTCCTGGACACGCTGCTTGGTCCTTTTACGGTGGGTTTTTCTGTCACGATCGTCGTAGGAGTGAGTAGACCAAGGCGCAGCGTGTGAAACAAACATGACTTTATTTAATTAAAGTATCAAACAAAACACGACTCGTGAAGTCCACGGTTAACAATACCGACACGGAACAAAAACCCACAACACCCAAGGGAAAACATACAGTTTAAATATGGCTCCCAATCAGAGACAACCCACAACAGCTGACACTCGTTGCCTCTGATTGGGAGCCACTCTGGCCAACATAGACATAGAACAACTTAGAATACCCAACATAGAAAATGAACACATAGAATGAACACACCCTGGCTCAACATATAGAGTCCCAGAGCCAGGGTGTGACAAGCTGATTGTGGACTTCAGGAGGAACCAGGCTGGACACGCCCCCATCCTCCTCAATGGGGCCGCGGTGGAGATGGTCTCAGAGAAGCTGAAATGGTCTAACCACATGAACGCTGTGGTGAAGAAGGCACGACAGCGACTCTTCAACCTCAGGATGCTGAAGAAAACTGGCCTGTACCCGAGGGCCCTCACAGTGTTCTACAGGAACACCATCGAGAGCATGCTGTCGGGCTGCATCACAGCATGGTACGGCAACTCCACCACCAGGCTCTTCAGAGGGTGATACGTGCAGCCGAACGCACCATTGGGTGGACACCGCCTGCCCTACAGGACAGC